CTTTGTCCCGGCCGGCAAGGAGGAGCGCTTTGTGCGGCCGCATGCAGGCGGCGGGGTCGGTCCCGGGAACCCCGGGAGGGAGGATGTGAAGCCGAGTGCCTGGGTTCTGTGCGGGCCAGCCAGGTACCACTGAAGACCGTGGGGGTTGACGCTTGTGGCACGCGGACCTCAATGGAGCGCAGAGAAGAGTCTGGAAGAGTTGGGATGACAGACGCGCTGATGGATCGGGGTCGCCTGGGCTCGGAGCGCGTCTGGCAGCGCAGGCTTTTCGTGGTGCGTCGGTTCTTGCGGTGGACCGGCCTGCGCCGGTTGTAGGACTAGGGATGCGCTCGGGTCTGTCCGGGGCCTGTGAACACCCGGCTTCCTCCGGCTCTGCAGCTTATTGGCAGCTGGCTATGGGGCTTCGTGGGGCTTATTGGCAGCTGGCTATGGGGCTTCCTCACCTCTGTGGTAGCTAGCTCCATGCTGCCCTTTAGGTCTCACATTGGTGTGAGAAGTGGACACGATTGGTGGTGATGACTGTAGCTGCTAGAGAGGATGAAACCTCTTCAGGCTGCGAGGAAGCGTTGTGTAAGGTGTTTTGGGGGCTCAGTGCATTTGCAGGGCTGTGGAGTCTGCCTGTCATACAACTATCCAGCAGGGTTGCCTGGCTGGGGTTCCAGTTCCAGCTCCACCATCCATTTACACCAACCACTCTGGCTCCAGCCTTCTGCACCCCAGTATCCCCATGACACTGCATGCTTGTCTGAGATACAGGCTTGCCCCTGTCCTAACACGATTTCTCCGTGGGCTGTTTCTCAGCTGCTGCCCCCCATCACAATTCCATTTTGAGAGCCTGGGTTGGTAGGTATTGTCAGTCAATATCCACAACCCGGTTTCTCTTGAAGGTGAAGACAGAAGAGTGAGTTGCGTGTGTGTGTGTGTGTGTGTGTGTGTGTGTGTGTGTGTGTGTCAGCTTGAGCGTGGGGCAACCTCTTGGCATGTTGAGAAGAGCACAGGATCGAGGCGAGGGAATAGCTAAGATGGAGCTTAGATTTAGGGACGGGGGTGGTGAGGGAGGGGAAAGGAGTCTGAATAATTATGCCTCAAGTGGAGGATTTTTTATTTATTTAGATTTTAGACCAGGTAATCTTCCTGCCAGTTTCTTGGGTGCTGGGATTACAGGTGTGCAGCACCATGCTCAGCCTAAATAGCAGATTCTAAAGGAGAAAATGAAAAACCCACTCCTCAGCCCAGTTCCAAATCCCTCACATCCGAACCCTGAGCTTCATTAAGAACACTGCTTCGGGAAAGGCTGGGGTTTATTTTTTGTCTCCTCTTCTCTGTTCTGGAACTTCTTTCTTCTGCTTTCGCAAACACCCTGAGTTTCACTGTGATTCTGTCCCCTTTTCTCTCCCTGCCAATCCATCCATTTATACTTTGAGTCAGATGAGATTTGCTCCAGCCCCTATCTGTCCTAATGTATTATTCACCCTCTGGCCATTTTTTCAACTCCCGGCTTCCCAAGGCTGTTCAACCCTGCCCCTCCTCCCCTCAGTACCAGTTCAGTTTGAGTAGTTCTAGAACCCACTTCATCTTCATTTTTCCTCTGTTGTAGCCTGGGGCTCTGGCTCCATCCTGAGAGGGAAGAGATTCTTAGTTTAGCTCCGGATAAGGCCTGCACACACTCAGAAGTCATCCACAGTCACACTCACCCCTGAAACGTTGTGCCTTCTCAGTCCTCAGAGCTTCCCTAAGTAGTTACTGCTGCTTGCTTGGATGTCAGCGGTCCTCTGAGTAAGCGCCTTTCGAGAGCATCTTTTAAGCCACCTGGGAATGAATTAGATATGCAAAGTTCCAGGCCCATTCCAGATCTGCCACACCAGAAGTGGGGTGTGGAGGGAGGCAGTGATCTGTTTCAGTGGTCCAGCACTCAGGTCATGTGATTTGTATTTGCAACTCCTTGGTCAGATGTTTAGTGCTTAGCCCTGAAAGTCCTCCAGCAGAGAAGCAGGTCTTTTCTCCTCCTATCTCCATTCTTTCCACGAGTGTTGTCTTCATCCCTAAGGAAGACATTGATCCAATGACCAAATTATGAATTATGGTGAATTCATGTGATATCTTTTTATTGAATACCTATTCTTTGGGCCCAGGAAGAAAAGACAGAGAGAGAGAGAGAGAGAGAGAGAGAGAGAGAGAGAGAGAGAGAGAACAGGCAGAGAGACATAAACAGCTAAGGGTCATAAATGTGGTAAGCACAGCAATAGCTGCATTCAGAGTGCTGAATGAAGATGGAGGAAGAAGGATCACTCTCCAAGGCGGGTAAAGAATTAATCTGGAGCAGGATGTGGTGAGAGGAGGAATTACAGAACAAGGCAAGACAGGAAATAGGGTTTCTAGTTTTTCAAACCAGTGCCAATGGAGGAAAGTGAGAAAGGGTCCAGCTGCCTACAGGACCAACCCATGGCTAAGCAGAGTCTGCACCCTGCAGTACTTGGTGGACATAGGTTCTAGCAAGACCTCAGGCCTGAAGCTAGTGGGAGGTAACACTATTCTGACGTTAACCAACCGCTTAAGCTTCTTGGGCCTGGCTGAGGTCAGAGGCTAAGAAAGAGGGAATGCAGAACTGTAATCTGGATTAATGGTGGCACCTCCCTTCTGCCAGAGTTCAGGAATCCTTGGAGGAGAATAAAATCGAGGATTCTCCATTGTAGGGGGATGACAGTCATGTGGCTGGGGATTTGCTGGAAGTCTGAGCATGGAGACCCAGCTCATATGTAAGGCATGATCTGGGTAGGAAAATCTCAAGCAGAAAACTGTAAGACTCTTAAGCTGGCAGCTGCTGGAACAAAGAAAAAAGTATTATAAAGACAATGTGGGATCCAGAGCTAGAATGTTTAAAAGCTGACTGTCAAGGCACAGAAATGGAGATTGTAGTGGTTTTTTTTTTCCCCTATAAAAGGAAAATAGCCAGTTGTGTGCTGCAGCTGAAAGGATTTTCTGAAGGCGGCAGAGGTGGGAGGATCAGGAGTTCGAGGCCAGCCTGAGCTACACATTTTAAGCCTGGCGCTGGTGGCACACGCCTTTAATCCCAGCACTCGGGAGGCAGAGGCAGGCGGATCTCTGAGTTCGAGGCCAGCCTGGTCTACAGAGGGAGCTCCAGGACAGGCTCCAAAGTTACACAGAGAAACCCTGTCTTTAAAAAAGAAAAAAAAAGGAAAACAGTACAATAAACTAATGAGGGGAAGCTGGATGTCATATGAAGGTGCTTTTGTTGGATGGTCTGTGGAGAGATTGTTGGGGTCTAACACCCTTCAGCTAAACTGAGAATGGCTGCTGGTTAGGAGATTTTAATTCTAAACACAGAGTAGGGCCAAGGCCAGTGCCTCTGAGTCAGACTCTATTTTCTTGTTCAAAAACCAAAAGTGTTAGGTGACTGGTTCAGGTCATGCCTGGCTTATAGTGTTCTTTGCTCAGGGTGATTCAACTCTGCCCTACAATTTAGTTTTATATAAATATTTACAGAGCAAATCCAGTGACTCTGTTGGTGGAAAGTGATGGGAAAGGAGTCCTAGGCCTAGTGGAAAGTAAACTCCCTGCCCAGCTATAGGGCAATGAAAGACCAAATCTGGGAAGTAGAGGCCTTTATTCTTCTCAGCTTGGCCTAGTTAGCTTTAACTGTCAATGTGATAAAGCCTAGAGTCATTGAGAGGAAAACTCCATTAATGAATTGTCTACAGGAGACTGGCCTGTGGGCATGTCTGTGGGGACGTCTGCATTGTTATTGATACAGGAGGCTCCAGTCCACTATGGGCAGCATCATTCCCTGTGCAGGTGGTCCTGGGGTGTATTTTTTGTTTTGCTTTGTTTTTGGTTTTTCCAGACACGGTTTCTCTATAACTTTGGAGCCTGTCCTGGCACTCGCTCTGTAGACCAGGCTGGCCTTGAACTCACAGAGATCCGCCTGTCTCTGCCTCCCAAGTGCTGGGACTAAAGGTGTATACCATCACCACCCAGATGGAGTAGTTCATTATTAGTTTAAACTGTCTTGTGTTGAAGAGATATTAAGAAGATAAAAAATGTGGGATTTAGAATTCTGTTAAAGTTACAACTCTCTGTTCCTTATCCCTTTGGGTAGCTAGTAAATGTTGTTTTACACCAGAACTTTGGACCTTACAGACTTTTAAAAAATCCCCAGCAGCTGATCAGAAGTGAGGACAGAGTATGTTTGCTTAAGTTAAGGTCATAATAAATAGTACTGACAAGAAAAATGATCCCAATACTGTAGCCTAGGCCATGGAACCCTGGGATGTGTGCTAATTCCTCAGGGCACTGCTTAAGGGCCCCAGGATGGTCAGGGGGTCTGTTAATGTTGTCTGTACTAGAAGCTATGATGAAGAATTATAGGGGCTGGAAGGGTAGCTCAGTGATGAAAAGCAGTGATGTTTCTTTCAGAGGAACCAGGTTCAGTTCTCAGCACCCACATGGCAGCTCACAACTACCTGTAACTCCAGTTCCAGTGAATTCATTATCCTTTTATGGCCTTGCTGGGTTCCAGGCAAATATAAGGTGCACAATATGTACCAAAACATCCATAGCCATAAAACAAAAGTCTTTTTCAAGATAGGGTTTCTCTGAGTAGCCTCCAGTGGCCAACTTGGAACTTGCTCTGTAAACCAGGCTGTCCTTGAACTTACATAGACTAGACCTGCCTGCCTCCTCCTCCTGAGTGCTGGGCCTGACTATTTTTTTGGAGGTGGGGGCCAAATCCTCTTTTTAAAAAGTCAGAAAGAATCTTGCTTCAAAACCTAATACTTGCCTGGTGGTGTTGGTGCACGCCTTTAATCCTAGTACTTGGGAGGCAGAGGCAGGTGGATTTCTGTGAGTTCGAGGCCAGCTTGGTCTATAAAGCAAGTTCCAGGGCAGCCACGACTGTTACACAGAGAAACCCTGTTTGGAAAAAAAAAAAAAAAAGAAAAGAAAAAAAAAAAAGAAAAGGAGGAGAGAAAAAGAAAGGAAGGAAGACACAAAAAAGAAGGGCATCAAGAGTGGCGGCCTCAGTATCCCCAAGGTGCTCTTCACAAGCCATGTCTTCTTGTAGGAACAGGAAGCCACCCACCACCATGAGCAGCACTCTGTCACCCACAGACTTCGACAGCTTGGAGATCCAGGGCCAGTATAGTGACATCAACAACCGCTGGGACCTGCCGGACTCAGATTGGGACAATGACAGCAGTTCAGCCCGCCTCTTTGAGAGGTCCAGAATTAAGGCCCTGGCAGGTAAGGACGGGCAGGGAGGGGCAGAGAGGTGGAGATGGGTTTATGAGCTTGGAAGGCAGAATCTTCTGTCTTTATGGGAAGGAAGACTGACTTCATTTTCTAGCTGCTGCAACTTCACACAGTGTACAACAGGCCTCAGCTTCCTTCTCCCCTAGCCTAGAGATGCCACCCACATTAGCCCTGGAAGTGCCCAGCTGGATGGATAAGCTTACTTTCATGACCTAAGCCCTGAGTCAGGTCCCTGTCGCTACAGTTCCTTGCCTTTTCACTCTAGTTGTCGTTTCTGTCCCCACCCTCCTCTCCCAGGGTACCCTCCCGTGGTTCTACTGTCATGCCCCACACCTGTTTCTTGTCCGGCCCTATTATCTTCCTGGCACTCTCCCCACCTGTTCTGCTGCCTGCTGCCTGTTACTCCTATTATTTTATTTACCTGTTCCCTGAAGCAGTTCTCTCAGCAGCCGTCCTCCATTCTCCCAGGGTTTGCTCTCCACCCACCCCACCTCAGCCCCTGCCCTCCCCTGTGGCCAGGGCTCTCCCCCCAGCTGTGCTGGGCACAAACAAACCAGTCTGACAGGCCTCCCCAAGGGGAGGGGGGGGTCATGGCAAAAAGAGTGCAGCTGCCACCTGACACCACCAGCCAGTGGCTGTTTTGGGATTGAGTCACCCACACACCCTAAGGCCACCCACCCAATCTGCCTCCTACATTCATCCCAACCTCTCCATAGCTACTGACCTGCCCATGGCCGTGCCAGCTCCAGTGTGAGAGAACATTACTTCCACTTAAGGAGTGATCGCCCAGCAGGGTGGCTCCCAGCAGCAGAGATTCAGAGGCCTTGATTTTTACAAATTCGGGTTCTCAAGAGAGATGAACTTCAGAACCTTTAGACATATAGTTCAGAACTCATGATTCTTGAGAGCTTTCCCGGGGAAATTATACTCAGCCAGCTCAGCACCAGATAATGGCTACAGCTTGTAGGATTCATGGGTCACTTTCTCCTGGCATCTTCCTGGCTGGGACTGAAGACTGGCTGACAAAAACTCTATCGGTACTTCAGTAGTTCAGGGAAGACAGGAAATGTGGGGTACGGAAAATGTCACGTCTTTGGGGAAGTGTGCCTGGCTCCCTGTTTTTAGATTCGTGTATCCTCTGGTACTATCATTGATGTCATTGTGCACATGCTACCCCAAACTCTCCTGATATCTGCAATGACACATACCTCCCAGAAGTGTCACTGTGCCTGTACAGGTCACATGCCAATCCATGTGATCATTATATCTACGTGTACATGCTATATGCCACCCCGTAAATCTTCTAGGTCTCGCTCATGTGACAGGTGCTACTCAGCTCTCACCATGTCTGTGAGCATGCCACGTGCCACTCAGTACTGCTATCATGTCTGAGCATCTGACACATAAGTCCTGTCAAGCTGCACACAAGACTTGCTCCGATCAGAACAGTCACCATATGCACACACCACTCCGTGCTCTTGTGGAGTGTTTATCCCCTGCTCAAGGCTGGCTCCCCTGAAGAGCCATCTCTGAATGGGCTTTGCTGTGCACAGTGCCACTCACTCAGTAGGTGCCAAATAAATCCTAAATGATTAAGGATGAGAAGGAACAAGTGTAGGTGCCAGTGACAAAAGCAGAAGCCCAGGAAGAGGTAGGAAGGGCACCTCATAGTTGTACCCATTACTAGGGTGTATGGGGGCTGAGATGTTGACTGAGGGGCCTGGTGCGCAAAGGGCTGGTGCTGGGGGACATTTGCAATACTTACTCCCCAGAGGAGGCCATAGAAGTCAAAACGGGCACACCTGCTTCTCTTCCAGGATCTCCTTGCTTCCTGTTTCTCTGTTCTCAGGGGCCGAGATCAAAGTTCAGGTGTCCTGAAACAAGCCCACCGATAGATGCCCAGAGAGGCCTTGCCCACGGCAGACCTTCTGAAAGCAGGAGTTTGCTTTGGGGCCCCCTCTGGCAGGTTTTCCCTAGTCTTGGGCAACTAGTGGCCTGACGAGCAGGTCTCTCTCTGGGTGCTGGCAACACCCTCCTCCGCCCCTGCAGGGCCTGGCCAAGCCCCAACTGGCTCCGCCTCCTGAGCAGCGTGCCCCTCCCCCGCCACTGTCCGACCTGTTTGTCTGGAGCTGCCTCTGTCTCCTCTCCCCACAACCAGGTGTGCCCTACTCACTGTCTCAGAAGCTCAGGCATCCTAAAACTTTCCCCCCACTCCTTGAAACTCCCAGCATCCTTGAAACAACTCCACCCAACCAGGTACGGAAGCCTTTTTTTGGACCCCCAGCACAGGCTTAGGGGACACACACTCTTGGCCCTGCCCTGGCAGGGGAGCATGGACTCTGGGCCACAGGCTGAGTAGGAGGTAGCAGGCACCATGAGTGCGAACGGAGTGGGCAGGATACATGGAAATGGCCTGAACGGGGCCGGTGAGTTTTACTATGAGGCTGTGGAAGGGTCTCAGAACCCTGGGGGCGTCCTGCTCTCACCAGCTGCCTTCATCAATCCTGCTCAGTATGCCAGTGTGCTGGAAGGACGCTTCAAACAGCTTCAAGGTGAGTTTCCCCGGGGCAGAGGGAGCCTGTGTGCCAAAGGGGACCTGGGATAGGAAGAGCTAGCATGCCTGGAACCCCTGTTACTCAACGTGGTGGAACTTACAGGGAATCATTGCAAGTAGCCAGAGAATCCAGATATGTGGACAACTGAAATTCTACTGAATGAGACCTGGGGTGGGGGTGCCCTGCTGGGTGCAAAGGTGATGAGGGTGAAGGTAGCTTGTGGGTTCATGTCGTCCGCTAGAGAGGCCCTCGCAGTCTCCCTGGTGGCTCACCCTCATGGTTTGGCCATGTTGGCCTTGTTAAGGAAGGAGAAAAGGGGAATGGGCTAGAGGCCTAGGACCTTGAGCTTCTATGTGTTTTCCTGGGCTTCAGAATGACTGTGGAGGGAGGATGTGTAGAAAATAGAGAGCGTGTGTCAAAGGGGAGGGTTTGTACACACAGGTCCATAGGTGTCTGAACAGGAATGTTCATCTTGGCACATGATAGTTTATTTCATGGTGTGTGTGTTTAGGGATGTCTTGTAATGCTACACTTGGGTGTCTAGCTTTACCAGGTCTTTCTAGGTACTGCTTCCACTTTAGTCTACCTATGGGCCTCACACCAGCCTGCCTGGTATCAGAGAGGTCTCCGTGGATTCAGTAATGGCCAGATGACTTAATCTGTCCTCAACTCATATAGGGCCTAGGACCCTAAAAGAGGTCCAGAGTCACTATAGGCATCACAAGTGCTGGAGGGGGGGGGGTTATCCCACACGGTGGTTAGGATCCCAGGTTTGGCATAGGCACAGGAATTGGAGGTGAGGAAGTCAGGAGTAGACTTGGGTGTGTGGCTGTTTTATGGGGGAGGTGCACAGGAACATGAAATTAAGGGTTGAGTCTAGATTTCTGAGGTACTGGTTCTGAGATGGAAGTAAATCTACACACATACCCCTGTGGCTGGGTCCCCACATGGGTCTCTCTGACCTCTAAAGTAGCTTACTGTGCAGAGCTTACCTGTCCCTTTCCATTTATAACATTTTTAATCATCAGCTTCCTGTGCAACCTGACAGCATCCCTTGTTAGGAGCTCCCCCTGGGGACTAGGCTACCTGGCCTTGCCTACCTCTCCTGGAGGTTGGCACTCAACTCCACCTGCATTACTCCCTTGAACTTGAAAGTTCTTTTTTTGGGCGGAGGGGGGTTGAGACAGGGTTTCTCTGTAGCTTTGGAGGTTGTCCTGGAACTTTCTCTGTAGACAAGGCTGTAGACAGAGATCCGCCTGCCTCTGCCTCCCGAGTGCTGGGTCTAAAGCTGTGCGCCATTTGTTTTTGTTTGAGACAGGATCTCACTGTCTGGTGAGATCTGCCATGGCTGGTCTGGAATTCGCAGAGATAGGCCTGCTTCTGCCTTCCAAGATTAAAGACATGCAGCACCATGCCTGGCCTAAATTCTTATAAAGTCTTTCTGAATCTTGGGGTATTGGTGTTCTAGGTCTGGATCCACTATAGCCAACTGTGCAACACTGCCTTGGGGTAGAGTAGCCTACCGTTTCTGTACATGACCCAGAACAGGGAGCTGCCTTAAAGGCCCACACAACCTCTCCACGGTCAAGTCCAGTTGCTGACCATCTGCGAGATCTGTCATATTTACAGGCCACATCTTCTCCCTTGCCACAGTTGAAGGAGAAGGAGGGCCCTGCCTTTATCAAAGCTCCCCAACAGGGAGCCACATCACACTGGGCAACCACTAAATGTGTCATACCCAGTATCTCATTTAATTGCTACAGTGACCCAATAAAGTAGGAAATAATATGCTCATCCTACAAATAGAGAAACTGAGGCACTGAGTAAGTTGTCAGTATTTCATCTCTTTACAGCATGAAGCCTAACCCCAGCACCTTCCTGGGCATTTCTTCTTGAGGCCTTTTTTATCTGTCTTGGTTTTTCTTTTTTTGTTGTTGTTTTGTTTTGTTTTTTTTCAGAGACAGGGTTTCTCCATGTAGCCTTGGCTGTCCTGGAACACTCTCTGTAGACCAGGCTGGCCTCAAACTCACAGAGATCCACCTGTCTCCACCTGGGATTGAAGACTTTGTCTTCCTCTTTTTATCCTTTCCTTTGCTCATGAGCTCATCCCGGCCTCTTCATTTCTTAGCTTTTTTCTCTTGGTCATCGCTAACCCTGCCGATCCCAGCTGTCACTTCTGCTCTCTCAGGCACCACATTCCACACCATGCCAGTTGGTGTTTAGAAGCAAGCATACTGTCCTTGAAGGGCAGAAGTGACTCCTTGTTGTCGCTGCAGATGAACGAGAAGCTGTGCAGAAGAAAACCTTCACCAAGTGGGTGAACTCCCACCTGGCCCGGGTGACATGCCGGGTGGGAGACCTGTACAGCGACCTGCGGGACGGGCGCAACCTCCTGAGGCTCCTGGAGGTGCTCTCGGGAGAGACCCTGGTGAGCAGGGGTAGTGAACAGAAGAGGGAGCTTCAGGGAACAAACCACAGGGGCTGCCATAGAGCACTGAGCAATATACCAAGGCTCCTCTGACTAGAGGATGCTCTCATTCCAAGAGGCTTTGCTACCTGATTACATGGGAGCCATGCTTTGCAGAGACAGGAACAGTGGCCCCATTGAAAACATTTCTTCTCCCACCCACTCTGGGTGCAATTAATTCCCTTGGGAATCTTAATCTGCCCAAGCCTCATCTGTAACCTTGCTTGGGCTCCATGACCTCTGGCTTGACCCTAGGGCTGTCACTGTGTTCCCAAAGGAAGTCATGGGAGGTATGGGGCAGGTTGCTGAGAAAACTAAGAAGAAAGAGAGCCGTGGTCCCATGCCACTGTGCCTTCCATCCACCCACAGCCAAAGCCCACAAAGGGCCGAATGCGGATTCACTGCCTGGAGAATGTGGATAAAGCACTACAGTTCCTGAAGGAGCAGAAAGTACACTTGGAAAACATGGGCTCCCATGACATCGTGGA